CATCGGTAAAATAATCCATGTGACATCAGGGGTTCAACCGTAATTTTACAAATCTACGAGAATACTTTTTGTGCAGAAAAGAAAAAAAAATAACGACTTTTTTCAACAGTTCGTCTCCTCCGCATCACCCTGTAGCGCCATTTTGGAGAGTATCGGCTAGGGCTGGGCAATATGACGATATTATTGTATATCGACGATGTCTCGAAAGTATCGCGATGTCAATGTCAACAGTCAGGTAACAGACTATTATCGACATTATTGGAAAAAAATTACAAATGATAAACCTAGTATGTTGCAAAAAATATTTTACATAGCCCCATAGTAACCATACAGGTCTTTTTGCATGCAAGAATGAAACAATTTAGTAGGAGGGTTGGGAATCGAATAACTTCTTATAAAATTCAATTTCGATTCTGCTTCTCGATTCCTGTAAGCGCATTTATTGTGATTTCAAAAGATTCAACTGCAAGAAGATGAAATAGAGAAAGAAAACAAGGGTGTATTGGATCCGTGCATTGACTGCAGCCACTGCCGCCAGTCATTAATGTTAATCAAAGAACAAAAGAAAAGAAAATCCCTCACTGATCTTGACTGAATCACTTTTGTAACCTCAATTTATATATTTTTTGCCTGTTGTTCGGCGCTGACTACTGTAATGGCAACGTGCATCTGTGTATATGCGATTATTTTGGAGATGCGTTCCAATATAATTTATCCTTATTTAGGGTATAGGCCTATTCTATTTTGATCTGCAGTTTAATAAAAGTTAAACAGAAAAAAAGACAAATAGTAGCACTACATGTGTTTCTGAATATTTATTCAACAGACTGTATAATGATGAAAAACCACAAACATGAATTATAATTCAAATACACTAATTCCTGCAGCATATTTATACAGCACACATAGCGCCCTATTTTTACAGATTTTTGAAACAGTGTATACAGTATAATTATGTTTAATTAAACTGAGATATAGCACTATAAATTCTTAATTCATTTGCGCAAACGGATGAAGACATTATAGGCCTATATCTCAGCTTGCCCCTCAACATGCACATGTTCGGAGTTTCGGCAGCCCAATACTGAATATTATATTGTGGCTGTTGTATTTTGATTCATAAAATAAAAATTATAAAAATTAAAATACAAAAATGAAATTTAAATTACCCTGCTTCTAAATAAATAAAGCAGTTATTTTTATTTAGTTTAAAAAACGGGCCAAAAGAGACCTCCGAACTAGGCTGCCAGAAAGGAAAAAAAAACCTTAATGTTTTTGCTCAGAATTCGTTTTCAATCCCTACATGATTTTAGTCATGTATGATAAATATCAAATCAAATACGTTATAGCTTGACTACAAGTTTAAAAACAACGCTACAATTGTTATAATCAAGGAAATTAAACTTACCATCATGAAATGTCTACACACGTGATAATGCCAAAAATATAGGTATATTTTATTCAAGACATTACTATATGATATCAACATGCATTTATCATTCTTGCAATCACCGCCAGAATGTCCAACTTCACCATGATGAACTTAAAATTGGGTTCTATTATTTTTCCTCAACAGTTCTCACAAAACGAAATTCATTTCAAACACAAATTTGATAAGAACAGAGTGGAAATTAGTAACACCAACATAACAGCAAAGCTAATGTTTTCTGTTAGTTTAAGC